TGCCATGAAACCTTGGAGCAAGATGCGGATGGTATAGGAAAAAAGATGTATGAGTTGTAAGATTTTAAGAGTTGCATGGGAAAATTGGTTTCATGGTAATCTGTGTGAAGTTAGAAAAGTGTGATTTCGTTCACAGGGTAAGAAAAATAAATACAAGCTGCAGATTAGAGTATTTATAATGCTTAAAGCTGTTTGACGTTTTTTGGTGCCTCCCTGATTCTGGTAGTTTTGTGATAAGAACTACAAAAACGATCTACTGGTAAACGGAAGGAATAGTCTTTCCGGTTTAGAACTGAGTCGACTGTCAAGTGATGCATAGGCTCCAGGCTTCTGGTTATTGTCACAAAGCATTGGAATGAAGATTGCGCCCAGGAGCCACCTAGGTTAGGAGACAAATGCTGTAGATGCTGTAGTATCATTGTAAGAGGCCGTACTGCGAAGGCTGAAACAGAACTAAAAGTGAATCTTGTACTAAAACATCGAGAAAGAATTTGAATCTTCTAATGGCAATGACGGGAATGATATGCATCTGTACGTCCGTGATAGTATGTGTGCCTTTTAAAAGGGATGTTTGGCGAGTGTGATAGCTGAGAAGATTTTCCGGGATGCCAAACAATTATCTCTATCGATGTCAGGGATGATGCTATTCCGCGACATTTCCTGTAAAATACCTATTTTCCAGACCCTTGGGGGGTGGGGGGGGGACCCAGGTCTGTAAATGGCCTATATATATATACTTTTGATTTGGACTGCATGTTCGCCACTGTTCTATATTACCCGTGGGTTTTGCATTGTTTTCCTCGACTTTCATTCGTTCTTATACCCTTTCTTACGTATGTTATAATATTGTCTTGGGTTTGCACTGCCCATTTTGCGAGTAGAGCTATGTTTTGATTTCTCACCGTACGGCCAAAATGTTGCGGAACTTCGCGGAGAAGCATGGACCACGATTCTGGGGAGAAAACAATTTAGACTGTGAGAGGTCACATGACCACTGTTCACACAAAAAAGCGGGTATTATTATTTATCTACAATAGGTGGGAGCAAACTTGCGCTGTTTTAAGATAAATGAGCAACCAAAGGCGGATTTACGGAACTTGAGATAGAACTTTTCACAATGCCGCAGTACATTGTAGGAAACATATTTGGATATAGAAGTTACAAAATCGTGGAGTTTACCCTAAAAAGGTCCATTTAATGATTGGAAAATTATGACCCGATAGCAATTGTTGATGTTGGGGCGCTTCATGTTTGAGCCATGCCATATGGATGAGGTGGAGTTTCACGCGCCCTGCGCGAGTCAAAAACAAGCGCTGGCTTTCGTTCCACCCCTTCTCAGGTATGATCACGATCATGATCATGACTTACCGCAATAATTGTAGCAATAAGATGTAATAGATGCACTACGTATAGACTAAGTATAGTATAGTAGTCTAGAATTGTACCTTTAATAATGACCATACCGCAATTACTAATTCTCATCACCGTTGCGCTAGACATCCCGGCTGCCGGGTCAGCCTTGAGGCCATCATCGCAGCACATGCTATGGCACCGAAGAGGCCTAGGGCACGGTATCCTCGTTGCGACGTTCATTTTTCGTGCAGCTGACTTTGAGAAAAGAACCAAGTGAATGTCACACCTGTTCCATTTGAAAACTGAATGTGATGAGACATGCTATCCATTCCGCAAACTGATGACAGACGTATCAGAAAGAAAAAAACAAATAAGAAGAGGAGGAGGAGGAGGAAGAGGAAGAAGAAATGAATGCAGAGTACATGCACTGTATGAAGATCCTCCAGGTTTGTCAATTAATGTCACGATACGCACTGTGAGGCCAGGGGAAGCTGAGGACAAAATGACGCAGGAGAGGGACTTGGGGAGTGTTTTCTGATCCGAATCATCGCCACACCAGCAGATCTGAGGCTGTGGTCAAAGAGAGCAACTTCGACATGGAAGAGGCGTCCCTTTGCAACGCGTTTTTTTTTTGAGTGAATTGGGTTCTGAAGCAGAACGGCCATCTGTGCTTTCCAAAGAGCTTTGTAGCATTTTGTCTGGAGGTCGTCCGCGCCATGAGACCACCCTTCGCTGAGGTGAGCGCTGATATTCAACATGAGATGCAAAGAATCCAAAAGAGTCCTGAAGAACTCGCTGAATATATTGGTTTGGATGAATTAGATATTCCTGCAATCTCAAAGTCGGAGTCTGAATCTTGGTTTCGTTGGATGCGAAGCGATTGCAGGACCAAACGATTGCAAAGAGCAAGGCCCCTTGCACCTGTTGCACCCGCTGGCATGACTCCGCACAGATTCGTGCTCCATAGTCGCTGTGACCTGCTAGGTGAAGAGCTTTGACGATTACCAAAAGATGCTTGCCTCAATTTGGCTCAGATTCTCTGAGGTTTGAGGTTTTCAGAGTTAAGTATAGTACAATATAGTGCACAATATGGCCACAAAAAAGTGCACATATTCTGTTGCGCAGGTGGGAGCGAATAGTGGAGGAACTGGAGCAGCAGGAGGAGGCTGTCGCTCCGGGTACTGACTCTAATCTTTGCGGAACACTGCGAAAGTACAGGTCATAATAGAGATCATATGCAGATCATACAAGACCAACTTGATCGAAGTAGATCCATGTTGATCGGTTTTCATGAGTCTGGGCAGAAGATTTCCGCAGGTGGAGGATAGGCGGCAAAGCCTGGAGAAACATCCAGAGTTCATCTGGAAGAATGGTGCGGGCATCGCTTTGCATCATTTCAACTCTGTTTTAAGACTGTTTTGAGCTGTTTTGAGCTGATGTGAAAAGGAAGAAATGTCAAGCAGTCTTTTGAGCTCCTACCTGGTGTCAGGAGTGAAGATGCGAGTGATGCTGTGAGCATCTGAAGCGATCGGAAAAGTGCCATAACACGCTGCCAACCCGTTTTGGTCAGACCTCTAGCAGAAGTCCTACAGCACGTGTAAACTGAGCGTTGCCGATGTGGTGATCTCGGCTCAAAATAGGAACGTCTCTTAGCAAACCACACCACAGCTGCTCGCACTTTTTTGAGGTTGGTTTCTGCAGTTCTGAGATATTTGAGTGCGACCTTGTGCGCGCCAGATTTGCCAGATTTGCCAGCTTTAGATGTGAACTCACAGGCCATGGCGGAACAACTTGAAGAGGAGACCATGGCTCCTGAGCCCGAGAAGGAAGAGGAGGCAGCAACTTCAATAATTTCAAAGATGTTCAAAGCAACATTTGGTGAATCTGATGACTCTGGAACGGCAACAATTGGCAAGAATCCGCAATAATCTGCCGCTCACATACATTGAGCATCGTTTAGCATGTTTGCTCTGATTGCGAAGGTGACCGATATGAACGGAGCTGTGCGAGGGGTCCTCAAGCGGGCCCTCCAGGTTGATGGTGTCATCCGCGGTCTGCATGAGGCAGAGTCAGTGCAACATAGTGACATAGTGACATAGTGCAACTGTAAGTTTTTTTTTCTGTTGAAAGAAGTATTCTAGTGGATCAGGCCATGTTTTGGTATTTCGAGAGTGGTCTGCACGTTGTGGATCTTGATGGAATTCGCATGAATTCGCACGAATTCGCACATGTTTTCATATCAATTTTCACTTGTTTTGTTGGTGACAGCATGATTTCCACAGAGTGTGCTCAGAACTCAGAGGTTCTGATGTTCTGATGTTCTGATTCTTCATTTTCGACCAGGTGGCCAAGCACATCGAAGCTTGCAAGGCCCAGGTCGTGTTCCTGGCAGAGTCTTGCAACGAGGCCACCTACAAGAAGCTGATCCAGGCTGCATGACCCGCGTGACACGTGTCCGCCTTGTGAGAGCGAAGTGGGACAAGTGGGACAAGCATTGAACAAACATCACAAAAGCGCGTGGCATAGAAATGGTAGAAAGGACTAGAAATGCGTAGAGAATTGTGAGAACGTTCAGAATGTTCAGCTAGTGACAGCAGTGCTCCTACTGACAGGGCCTGTGCTTGGAAAAGAACGTGCCTGTTGTTGACGTGCCTGACAACAAGAGCTTGGGTGAATGGGCAGGCGACCCGTCTCCAGTTGCTTCGCAGGTTTGGAGTAGGTCCTACATTGTCCTACATATTGAGTTTGATCGGAGTGTGCGTGTGGATGCATGTGGTATGTGAAGGCCTTTGCAAGATCGACAAGGACGGTCTTCCTAGGAAGGCAGGTGGCAAGCTGATTTGCAGCTCTCATATGAAACATAGTGAAACAATATGGAACTATTTCAACTATTTCTGAATTTTGCCAGGTAGTTGGCACAAGCTGCGTGGCAGTCGTGGACTTTGGTGAAGAGGGCGAGGAGCGGATTGGCATGATTTCCCTTGATTTTGCTGCGACATGTTGAGCTAAGGACATGTCAAACGTGTCATGGGATGTGGAGAAATGTAGTCGAACACTCTGACAGGCCTACAACTACCTCATGAAGAACTTGAGCAAGTGAATCTGAGCGCAATAGCAGTGGACCGCTGCAAGAGACAAGAAAAGCTCCTGTGAAGCTGTGCCTTGACAGGGCACCTGTATGGGTTGTGGGGTGCTAATCTCTGCAGTCCTCGTTGAACAAGTTGGGGTTTACAACCCGAGTAGCTGGGCATGTGTAAACTGAGCGTTGCCGATGTGGTGATCTCGGCTCAAAATAGGAACGTCTCTTAGCAAACCACACCACAGCTGCTCGCACTTTTTTGAGGTTGGTTTCTGCAGTTCTGAGATATTTGAGTGCGACCTTGTGCGCGCCAGATTTGCCAGATTTGCCAGCTTTAGATGTGAACTCACAGGCCATGGCGGAACAACTTGAAGAGGAGGAGACCATGGCTCCTGAGCCCGAGAAGGAAGAGGAGGCAGCAACTTCAATAATTTCAAAGATGTTCAAAGCAACATTTGGTGAATCTGATGACTCTGCAACGGCAACAATTGGCAAGAATCCGCAATAATCTGCCGCTCACATACATTGAGCATCGTTTAGCATGTTTGCTCTGATTGCGAAGGTGACCGATATGAACGGAGCTGTGCGAGGGGTCCTCAAGCGGGCCCTCCAGGTTGATGGTGTCATCCGCGGTCTGCATGAGGCAGAGTCAGTGCAACATAGTGACATAGTGACATAGTGCAACTGTAAGTTTTTTTTTCTCTGTTGAAAGAAGTATTCTAGTGGATCAGGCCATGTTTTGGTATTTCGAGAGTGGTCTGCACGTTGTGGATCTTGATGGAATTCGCATGAATTCGCACATGTTTTCATATCAATTTTCACTTGTTTTGTTGGTGACAGCATGATTTCCACAGAGCGTGCTCAGAACTCAGAGGTTCTGATGTTCTGATGTTCTGATTCTTCATTTTCGACCAGGTGGCCAAGCACATCGAAGCTTGCAAGGCCCAGGTCGTGTTCCTGGCAGAGTCTTGCAACGAGGCCACCTACAAGAAGCTGATCCAGGCTGCATGACCCGCGTGACACGTGTCCGCCTTGTGAGAGCGAAGTGGGACAAGTGGGACAAGCATTGAACAAACATCGCAAAAGCGCGTGGCATAGAAATGGTAGAAAGGACTAGAAATGCGTAGAGAATTGTGAGAACGTTCAGAATGTTCAGCTAGTGACAGCAGTGCTCCTACTGACAGGGCCTGTGCTTGGAAAAGAACGTGCCTGTTGTTGACGTGCCTGACAACAAGAGCTTGGGTGAATGGGCAGGCGACCCGTCTCCAGTTGCTTCGCAGGTTTGGAGTAGGTCCTACATTGTCCTACATATTGAGTTTGATCGGAGTGTGCGTGTGGATGCATGTGGTATGTGAAGGCCTTTGCAAGATCGACAAGGACGGTCTTCCTAGGAAGGCAGGTGGCAAGCTGATTTGCAGCTCTCATATGAAACATAGTGAAACAATATGGAACTATTTCAACTATTTCTGAATTTTGCCAGGTAGTTGGCACAAGCTGCGTGGCAGTCGTGGACTTTGGTGAAGAGGGCGAGGAGCGGATTGGCATGATTTCCCTTGATTTTGCTGCGACATGTTGAGCTAAGGACATGTCAAACGTGTCATGGGATGTGGAGAAATGTAGTCGAACACTCTGACAGGCCTACAACTACCTCATGAAGAACTTGAGCAAGTGAATCTGAGCGCAATAGCAGTGGACCGCTGCAAGAGACAAGAAAAGCTCCTGTGAAGTCGTTGAAACGCTGAACGGTTGTGATCTCTCATGATTTTTGGCCTCACCATAGCGAGCCTGTAGAGAGTCTTGACCATTTTGACAGCTGAATCCTTCTCTTGGCGGAAGCTTATTTAGGTTCAAAGGCCTGTAGCTCCAGCACTCAGAACTTCATGACTTTATTTTGTGCTTCATTCCCTTCATGTCCGTGGTTGTGAAGTCTAAGATGATTCTGAGATTTAAGTTTAGCCATTTAAGAAACTTCTCTTGTCCTATGTTTTTTTGAAGCCACATGAAAATTGCGAGAGGATTTTAGCACCGACAACTTGGGTCGCGATTTCCAGACGCGATGCGGATGTTCCATAGATTGTGCCCATAGCTGGCCGCCAGGCCCGAAACGATGAAAAGAGAAAAGCCATACAGAAATGCGACACAGAGACAACACACCATAAATGGTATGATAATGTATGATAATGTATGATAATGTATGATATGGTATCACGATTGTTTCTAACGCACAATGAGAACGTCTTTCAACCAGACTGCAGAATTTTTTCGTGTGTTCAACCGACGTGACGTGAGGTGTTTTGAGTCATGAAGAATGTCAAGGCCCGGAGACTCAGTGGATCCAGTTGTGGATCCAGTTGATGCGGATCCAGTTGTGGTGCATGGCTGCATGGCTGCATGGATGTCCATGGTCCAAGGCTGCCATGCGGGGAGCCCAAGAGACCTTGGGCTTCGATTCCCCAAGCCACATGAAGGGCCTGCAGGTGATACCGACACAATTGACAAGGGAAGAATTCCGGCAATGAATTTTGATATGCAAAAAAACAACTTCATTTCTTAACTCAGCATTTGAAGCATCTGAAGCATCTCATTTAGATGTTTGCACATGCACAATACTGTGATTGCTGGGAAATTTCTGATGATTTTAGTCGTGGCACTGATGCTCAGATGCATCAAGCAAAAGCCGTGACTATTTGAGCATGACTTGGAACTGACCTTAGGGGGCGCACAGCATTGCGGCATTCGTCGCATGATTTGCTGCCGGCCAGGTCTTTATTGCTGACATACGAAACTGCCAGACGAAAGAACAAGAGCAGCAGAGGGTTGACAAGGCAGGCTTTGTACAGATTGTAGCACCAATTGAAGCAGCTTTTTAACTTCTCTTCAGCCGAAGAGAACCTTCTCTTTCGCTCATTTCGAAGTGTTTGAGTTCTTGTTTTCTGCTCGCAAAACATATTTTGGATTATTTTGGATTATTTTGGCCTTTTAGAATGTATCTTGCGCTGCTTGACTCAAGCAGAAGTTTCGAAACTGCTGCTGCGAGGAGTTGTCGAAGATTCGCTTGAAATTTGCAAATCCCAAATCCCTCTCGGGCTATGACAAGAAAAAGTGCGCTTGAGGGCACACTGGAAATCGGAAGTCATGAAAGAATGGAACATTTACAAGCTCAAACAACATGTATACATAATATATATACATATATTATATTATATTATATTATATTATATTCTATTCTATTATATTATATTATATTATATTATAGAATGTATATTAATATATATTTTATGTATAAATATGAACATCATGCTAAGCAATCCTTTGATTCAAAATGGTTCAGATATTGAATATTACTGAATCATGGTTTTTATCATTGGTTTATTTATTTTATTTTCAGGTACGTCTGGAAGCTGCTGTATGCTTACATGCTGGGCTACGACATCGACTTTGGACACTTCCAGGTCCGGCCGTGGCACAGCGGTTCAGCGTTGCGCGGTACGCTGTGTACGCCGTGTTTTTGCGTCGAGGCTGTGGAGCTCTGCTCCGCATCGAAATTCAGTGAGAAGACTGCCGGGCACTGCACTCAGCTGATAGCCCCCAACAACATCAACATCCAATCAACTATCAATCAACTATCAATCAACTATCAGAAACTATCAGCTGAACTCAGAGAAACTTCGATGTTGGAAGATTTTCGCAGATTTCGAAGATGTTTTCCAGCATTTTTGATGCCCACATTCTCCAGCATTCGCCAGCAGTTCACCACCTTTGGAGCGCGCTAGGTATTTGGCCACTTCTCTGCTTCTTGCTGACAACAACGACATGGTGCGCATGATCGTGAACAGCGTGAAGACAGACATGGCATCTGGCAATGAGGCAGGGGCAGTGCTTCAAAAAAAACATGTGAACAATTGTTTTCTACGTGCGTAGACAGGCAGACAGGTACCATTTTAAATCATGAAAATGAGCGAAGTAAGGCTTTGTCAAGTGATGTCAAGTGATGTCAAGTGCAAGTTTGATGCAACCAATGGAACCCGAAACCACAGTGCATATAGCGCTTTTTTCTCGGCATGACCTTCCAAGCGCGCCCAGCACATGGCTGCATTGGCCCTGAACACGGTGGCCAATATTGGAGGCGAATTGCGGATATTGCGGGAGCATCTTGAGCCTGTCATTGTCATGTGGATTGTATAAACAAATCTGGTTGGTGGTTTGGAACATTTTTTTTCCATAATATATGGGATAATCCTTCCCATTGACTTTCATATTTTTCAAGATGGTTAAAACCACCAACCAGAAATGGTATGTCAATTTTTATACAATTTGTCAGGTCCTGAGTTTGCCGACAACCTTTTCTCTGACATATCCAAGATGCTTTTGTCACAGTCCAACGCGTTTCTTGGTGACACGTCTAGAGTCCAGAGAAATCCAGAGAATCCGTGCCATATCCGTGCCGTGGGCCAAGGCTGTCACCGTACATTAAGCGAAAAGCGTGCATTTGTTTGCTGAGACTATACAGAAAGGACTGAGAAAACTGTGACAGCAAAAGTTGCAGAGTTGTTGCAGAGTTGTTGCAGAAGTTGCGTCCAACTTTCCACAGGAAAATGATGGCCTGAAGCCAGACGTCTCCTCCTTAAGATGGGTTTTTTAGCAGTTTCAAAAGCAAAAACGGTCTCAACAGGTCACCAGGTCTTCGTTTCCATTTCAAACGGCATTTCAAAACACATTTTCGGTGCTACCAGATATGGTCAAAGAAGCTTGCTGCTCTATTCCTCGAGCGAGATATTGGTCTTTTAACGTGCCTGCCTGAGTTTGCAAAGAGGCCTCTGTGGTAAGTCCCTAACAAAAAAAACGTGTTACACGTGCTGAGCAAAAAAACTTTGATCATCTTTGATTTATTGAAATCTATTCAGAAGGGTAGCCAAATCTCTGAGATTTTTTTTCCATGCTGACAATACCAGGACCATGACACATGTCACTAGGTCTGTCAGTGGCTTCATGCTCGGAATCCTAGAGATGGGCAAATATCCCGTGCATCCCTCAGTGCTGCCGTTTTTTTTTTGGTGGCGAAAGGCCATGCGAATTTCACTGAAAAAGTACTCTGAGTATCTAGAAAGAGTACTCTTCTAGTTTTTCGCGACTTGAAGAATCTGTAGATATCCGGGAGATAGATGTAATATATTGTAATATGATGTGATTATAATATATGATATTATATGATATATATATGATATTATATGTAGATAGATGGAAAAATCTGTATCTTTGGATCTCTGCTGCCGCAAAGCGAGGTCCAGGCGTGGGCAGAAGTGGTGCCACCTGTGTGCCAGTGCTTAGCCAGCCTGGTCCAAGGGGATTGTCCTGAATTCTATGAGTGCCCTGGTTTCATGGTGGAAAACCATCAGAAAACCATAGGAAAATGGTGGTTTCATGGTGGTTTAATGGGCTTTAACCAACAAAATCGTGATTTTAATGGGATGTACCCTCTGGTTTAGTGACTAACGTAGCTAATGAGAAAATGACCCAGTCGAAATAGTTGATTTACCCATTAAACATATGGTGATTTTCCATAGTTTTTTGTATGTTTACCAGAGGGTATCATATTTCACATCCAATAACTTCGTGGACAAAGGACCTGACCTGCTTCGAAGGTACTATCATGTACCTGCTCCCTGGCTTCAGACGAAACTTCTTAGAATCTTGTGGTGCTGGCGATTTTCTCATTTCAGACATGTGTCAGTTGACATGAGTTGAAATGTCAGCACATAGCCTTCACATAGCCTTGCCGTGCTGCTGTGCTCCACGATGCTCCACGCTTTGAATGATTCCAACGGCCAGGCAATTCTTTCCTGTCTCCATGTTCGACGCAGAGCTGTTGTCCAGCCCTTGATTTCCCACTGATAATCGCAGCATAGGCACTTTCTGCTCACCCATGTAGTGATCCTACATATTTTTTAAATCCGTGAATTCCTTGGTTTCAAGATGTTTTGCAAGATCAGCGGTTGTTACTGGTTGTTAATTTGGGATACTTTGGATTGTTTCAACCAAGATGTTTCAACCAAGATGTTTCAAGATTTTCAAGTTCTTCCCATAAAATCAATCATGGACCACCATGTTTCACCGAATTTTATTCGAGGCACCGGATGAATGTGATGCTGCAGAGCATCTTGGCCAAGCCATCCTCACAGAGAACTCCGGCGCCCCCACCAGGCGCTGCCAATGGCCGTTGGATTTTTGTGATGTGAAAAATGGATACCATCTGGTTATGACTAACAGTTTGCCATGGAAAATCACCATGCTATTAATAGATATTAATAGGTAAACCATCTAGAAATGGGCCATTTTCCATGGCTATGTTAAATAACCAGAGGGTAAATGAAAAGTAAAACTATGGAGAATAAATGATAATAACAATGGATACTACTTGATGGATGATAAAGCAACAATGGAACATAACTGATGCTCCCCTGTATTATATTGTTTTACCATCTGTAAATTCACATAGACCCTGAAAATATGCCATTTTTAGTGGACACAGGGTCTTCCAACCGGCAGGGTCGTCATGGTACTGGAGGGTATAGTGACTTCAAAATCCATGGGCCTCTGAGCCTTGAGTCCTCTCAAATTGCGCCACATTCGCCAAGGCCCCGGCAAAAAGAGAAGCAAGGCCACGTCAAGATACCTCAAACATGTGATGAAACATATGGGGGGTTCTATAAATGGGGGAATACCCAATATATCGCTGGATGGTTTATTTATGTTTATTTCATGGAAAATCCCGTTCTCTAATAGCTGGATGATGACCAGGGGTCCCCCCATTTTAGGACACCTCCATGTGATGAATTGAAAAGTCACAAGGACAACTTCTCGGAATTGTGGCACGGCCTTTCTCCTATGTTTAGGTGGATGCGGAGCGTCAAAACCGCTCCAATGCTGAACACGCCATCCTTTTTGAGGCTGGCTGAAAAGCCAAGCTCCGCTGGTGGGAATCATATGGAATATATATATATATATATATTTGAATATTAGATTACACACATATAGATATCATAATATATAGATACCATGTATGGATACCATATGTAGATACTGTATACATACATAATATAAAAAATATATTCAGCACACCTAGTTTGCCAATACTGTAGAGTACTCTGTACTTTCAAAACCCTGCGAGCGACATGCCGCAGACCTCGCAGGTAGTGGATCTTTTGAACGTCACATGAGACTCGGAGAGTGTAGTGGCATCATAATATGTATAGCTAAGCATAGCTAAGTCCATTGGCCTCGCCAGGCCATGAATTTGATGATTCATCTGGAGGCCCGAGCCTTGGGGAACTTGAGCATTCAGAAAGGCTAAAAAGAAAGGAAAAAAACCCACAACGCTCGTCTCGTTTCTTCAAGAACTTCTCAAGTGATCATATTCTGGTAGTTTTTTTTAGTCAGACATTTAGATCGTTTAGGCTTCCAAAGCATCTTGGAAGTCCATTCTGAGCAGCAAAAAATGTCTCTGACCTTTCACTGGTGTACTTTGTCCGTCTTTGCCCAGCATCCCCGCACTCTTCAACACTATTCGCTGGTGTCACACGTACTTTGAAGCGATGTGGAGGCTACGTACTTTGATTAGAATATCCCGCAAAAATCGGGAATGTGGTGTAACATAATCTTGTAACATATCTTGTTATTTCTTGTTACATTGTTGTTTTTTGCCTTTTCGACATGTTTTTCTTGCTTCCCATTGCTTCCCTTTCCTCATTGCAGGACACAGCTGACCCAGAGACAATGAAAACAGCTGCTGGCCTGCTTGGGATCTTCTTGTCTTCAACAGACCCAAACATCAGGTGGGCCGAAAAGTTTGATGGTGTGACCAAAAAATGCAAGACTGAAGTACAGGTTTAGAGAGAGTAAATGGTAGATGCTGGATGCTGCATGTCCTACGTTAGCAGTTTGAGACTCTGACTCTAAATTCCAGTCAATCATTTTTCAATGATTCACCAAACACCTATCCATTTTTCCTGGGAAAAAGGAAAGCAGGAGCTCAGAGAAAGCAAATGGTCAAACAGCAATAACAAGATATAGCAAGCATGCAATCAAAGCAAAGGAAAGCAGCAGAAAGGACTTTAAGAACCACTACTGTAGGCCTGTAGGCTAGCAAAACTGTACTGAAGGACTGTCAGAAAGGCCACATTTGGGACACTCTTTCTGGAAAACTTAGGATAACTCATGCGAACTTCGAAAACGGTCGAGTGCAACGAGAAAAGTGAAACGGAGGAAACGAACGCGCCGCAACGCAACGCCTGTTGCTGTTTCACTACAATCATCACTTGATCTACTCGGCGTCGATTCCTGGACCAAACTGTATTCGTCCAGAAAGACAAGAAGGGCATAGCTGGGCGCGTAGATGTAACATGATGTAACATGATGTAACATGATGTAACATGATGTAACATGAACCAAGCACAATCCAACTCATAGCTGGCACCAAGTTGTTACGTCCTCAATTTTTCATGATTTTCATGGGAAGTCATCTTTGCGCGGAGGTATTTGGGTCTGGAAACTATGGCGAGACTGGCGACAAACCTCTCGACCCATGAATATCTGGACAGGCAGAAGCAGAGCAGAAAATTAGCAGCATCATGATCAAAAGAGATCTTCCAGAGACTCGATGTGGCTGGAGGTATAAGAATCAAATCCTGGACAAGATGCACGAAACCGACATTTCAATTAGAAGACAGGCACAAGTGGCAGATGTGACTCTTGCTCTTCAAATTTGTTGCTTTTCCCCAGGATTGTGAAGCTCTGTTCAGATTTCACGCTGTCATGGCACGTGATTCACGTGGTTCACGTGGTTCACGTGGTTCACGTGGTTTGGGAAGGCTCTGAATCTCCTCTATGCATTGTGCAGGCAAGCTGTGTGTCATATTCTCCTAGATTCGTCTAGAACGGCAGAACAAAGTGAATTTATCAGCAATGGACTGGGGAAGTTTTGCCCACAGTTACCTTATTTTTACCACATTTCTTCCAACCATTTTTCTACATCCAAAACTGGTGAAGGCCGGAGAATTGGCAGCAAATTGTCGATGAGCTCCTGGAGATTCTGGGTGCCAGCGATAGCTTGCTACAAGAGGAGACAGCCGGGAACATTTGTGAACGTCATCTGAATATGTATGAATATATAATAATATATATATATATACAGTACCGGCATCATTGACTTATGTTTGACGCTGGCTCTGTTCTTGGCAGTTTGGCCGGACTGCCGCATTTTCCAATGAGTTTCACTGAAAAAATTGAGCATCAGTTGACCACCAGACAATTCGATATATATATACATAATAAAAACATATGATCTCATAATATATAAGAAATACTATACAACATACACACATATATATATACATACACACCCTTGCACTACATTGGCTATTCAGAACTTGCGACTCGCCAGAGACGGCAGGGGATATTGTTGTTTGTCCCTACCAACAGATCTCAATGAATTGGCTCATGTTTTTTTTTCCCCGATGATGTCAAGGAGCTGGTTCTGAAGATTGCCATCTTGGCAGAGAAGAACGCTCCGAATTTCGGTTGGTACGTGGATGCTCTGTCCTTGGAAGCC